AAGCTATGTGTTTAGCAACCAGGACAACCGAATCACTTTGTCCCGATGTGCTAACAAGCTGCGGACCACCGAGGATCTTGATTTTTTTAGATCCTTGAGGAATTTCAGTAGGATATCCTTGTAGCGTCGCTTCTGTCCTCATTGTCGGTGAACACCCGTAGTGGCGTTGCAGTAGGGAAATCAATTGGGCAGACGCTCGTCATTCATCCTCGCGAGATGGCCGTTTCAGCGCAATCGGAGTTGCACCAGCGGGACGGAGATGCTGAGGATTTCGGTCCTTTCCAGGATTTTCGTGTCAGGGGCCCTGTCCTGCCACCTCAGCTGAGGCAGCTGAAGTGGGAGTGATTGGGTTTCCCAGCCCTGTTGACGTAGACGGTCCATGTGTCCGCCCCATAGAGTAGCGTCATCAGGACTGCTGCTCTGAACATCTTCGGCTTCCTGTTGAAGCGAAGTGCGTGTGGCTTCCATACGGAGATCTCCAGCCGGCCGAAAGCCAACGGATTTTTTTTTGATTCGCTAAGTTACTTTGTCGTCGACCGCGATGTTGGTTGAAATGACAGTGCCTATATAGGCGAATTTTTCACCGCTGACGCTGGTTGGTATATGACCCAAAGTTCTCTCTGTGCTGTTGTGCAGTCCGAGGTTAATGCAGCCGGTGACGATGAGTTCCATGATTCTTTGTATGGGTGCTTCTGTCAGGGTAGTGAGTACAGAGTCGTCTGTGAAAGGAGTTCATAGAGAGTAGTGGTTGAAGTCTGCGTTGAAGCCGGTTGCCGATCCTGTAGATGATGTTTATTCGAGAACGCTCAATCCGGTAAACGTCCAGCAGCATGGTTGAGAGCATGGGACTGATGGAGGTGGTTGACAGTATGCAGCCCTAGTCGATTTCGTTTTTTACCGTAACTGGTACTGATCCTACCCCACTGTCGTCTCTGGCGCCACCATTCCTTTGCAAACCTTACGCACTCCGTACATAGATCGTCCATGACAATCTGATTTCCGCATGATTTTCCAGGGACCATTGTGGTCCATCATGTTCTGGTCTTTCATCTGTTCCACAAAGGCCCTGTATTGATACGTATACATTAAACAGAGTGTGTCCTGCAGTTACCGAACCGCGAAAATTAGGTTAGTTTTCCCACGGTGGCCTCGGTTGTCAAACTGAACTTCCAAATGAAGCTTATTTTTCATATATCCATTAAGACGACTGAGAAGGATGCGATCGACCATCTCCACGGCAATCTTGATCAACAAGTTTCATTTCGGATTACTGGAGACTTGCCGGTTCTTCTTTCGTCAGTGGAGTGGGCGACTATTATGTACTTGAAATCCCGAGGGACTGATCCTTACGTCCACCTCTCCGTGCGTTATGGAGAGCGCAACCGTTGTGGAGTCACGGCCAATGGCGAAACGTAGACTCGACCATGGGTGTCAGTACACAGCCCTGCTTCATGCATTTGTTATTACGAGTTATTTTGTATTCGGGACGATGGCTGTTTATTCAACCTTTTTGACGGCTATTCGTATATCTGCGTGGTATGGTCAATTTACAGATATCGTGATTTCTTCGCATTTGTTTATGTCACCTTTTCAGGCTCCCTTATTTTCGAGGGGTTAAGCAGTTTTGTCCCTAAAGAAAGCAGCTTTGACATCCCGGGCGGCTACCGAATTTAACTATGTGTCACGACTTTGTTTTTTGGGAGGACGATATAATTTATTGTGGGTCGGCTGCGGGGTTGCATTTCAGTCACTGCCTATGATTTTTTTTAAATTGGAGGGAGGTAGCGGGACGGAATATGAGGACAAGATTACCAGGTGTGGGGACGCACCACAGAATCACCAAATATGGTTTGACCAGCCAATGGAGTCGGTTACCGGGGCGGGGCAACTGGGCAGAACCAAGCATCGGGGAGCCACAGATGAGAGTCTGGTTTCAGCTAAATCACGTGCGGAGTGACCTGCCGTCCTTACACGGGATGCCGTCTAACTTGTCATCCCCACAGCTCGCACGCAATCTAAGGACTCTTCTGACTTGCTCATGGGACCCAAAATTTTTTATACGTAATTTGTGGTGTTGCTTATTCGGCTTTAATTGCTATATAGGAAAATTACAGCGTACCTTCGAGGCTGAAGCCTTCTTGGGAAAACCAATAATTTAAAACACTTTCAGGCATTATTTACGTATGTATATGTATCATTACGTTTATGTGACGTTGCTCAGGATGCTTGGAATAATCGGATTAAATTTGGAAACACAAGTCTTACGCGCATAAACCCTCCCATTCATAAATACCACTTAACCTGTTGTTCACATAATGATAAATAATCCCCGACGATACACAAGACCACACTACTGTCGTGAGGGTGCATTTGTTCTTCGCCTTGCTGATACCATGTGCATTACTACGCATTTTTGACGCTGAATTTCGTGCACCATTTCTCGTTCCATGCGTGCAAATTCTCTACCTCCTCTTGTGGTATCTTGACCTCCTCTTCATCTTTTGTCGCCCTCCACAATTTATGATGATCTGCAAAGAGCGCTTTGACCGATTTCACTCCATGTACTAGATCATTTACAGAGATAATGAATAGGAGCGGCCCAAGAACTGACCCTTGTGGGACTCCACTTTTAACAGACGCCAATTCTGATCTGTAGCCACCTACAGTGACTTCTTGTCTACGACCGTTTAATAAATCTTGAATCCCGTTCATAAGATTTTTTCTCATCTCTACTGACAACTTTTGAACGAGACGCTTATATGGAAGGTAATCAAACGCCTTGCTGAAGTCAAAGAAAATGACCTCTACTGGATGTCTTTCATCCATGACCTTTGACCAATGTTCGAGCGACGTAAGCAGGTTTGTGAGGCAGGACCTCTTCAGAGAAGCCATTTTGAACTGAACTGATGTGACAGCGGAATGTATCGAGCGATATATCAGAACTTATTGACTCCGAAACCATCGCGATTGTTTTTTACTTGCTTTCGGACGCTGTGTAGCATAAGGGATGAGGAATTACTACACTATAATTCGAAATCGATTGGTGTACCGATATGAAAATGGCAGGCACGCAGCAAAAAACACAGACTAACTGGTAAACCCTCGTAGAGACGATGCAGAAACGACTGTCCATACCAAAAGGCCGGGCACAAATCATGTTTGTGCTCTGTCATACAGGCTAAATTCTGGTAGCGCACTGTTCGACCTGCTCGCACCCGAGCAGGGATCCGAAGATCAGCTCTAACTTGCGTCCATTATCAAAAGGAGTTTAATGACGGGAACGGGGGACTTTGTACCGGAAGTACTCAACTGAACTCGCTGGCAGCTACGCCTGCTTCCTAGCAACATGTCCGACAGTTCGGTCCCGACGATGTCCACCGTGTGCTAAACAACAAGGTGCAGCAGGCGCGGTGACCTACGCCGCATCTACCACTCCCCAACTGGACCCGGTGTCCAGACAAAGTCAAGAGGACCGGAGGCGTGGGAGGGCGCAGGTGGTTGGCATGGCCGGATCCGCACCTAAGTGTGCCACCACACCCCCTGGTCCACGACATACACTGGACCAGGATTTTTCATCAACAACAACAACGCCCCAGCAGGAGTCAGAAGGACGAGGATGACTGGGCAGCCCTACCCACCGCCTGTATACCCAGTGGGAGCGCAAACGCACCTACCGGCAGGGAACTGCCAGCGCATACCAGACTGTGACGGCCATGGTTCGCTAATACTGGCATAGGACACGCTTTCAGACCTCTTGACCTTCCGAGCAACAAACATGCAACAAAGTGAACCCGTTGATTCATAGGCAAGAGCTGACTTGTAACTGACGTAAAAGGCATTTTCCGCCGCCTTAGAACGGTAATTGCAGGGCTCTACATTGGCACCGCGTGGAATTCTACGCCCCTCCAACAGCGCATTACAACCGCAGCTTGGATATGTTGAAAATAGTCATTCTGAAAGGGCGAGGATATTACGACACGGTATTTCGTAACTGGCTTTCCGCCGATTTTCGCCACGGGGGAGCAACATACTCTGGAAGAAATCGGGCGGGACAAACAGGTCTAGTCGAGGTGCTTTAAGACGGACAAATACCGAGTACAATGTTTCACTGGAGCAGATTTTCCTTGCTTTTTTGAAGTTTGTGGACAAGACTTCACTCAAGTCGTATAGACACGCAATGCCTGGAAGGCAGATACTAGAGAATTTACTTGTTCATATGGGAGACAGCCTGCCTATGCCCAGGGACGCCCAGGACGGACAGTTCGCTGTCCTATCTCTTTCCATTGTGATTAAAATTGGGATGCAGGTTATTCATGACAACAGGTGGATCTTCGGCCTCGTCGTGGCCATTGAAGAGCACAATTATATTCTCGACATGTCTTATCGCTAGGTGGTCTGGCACAATTTTGCCGAAACTCTCTCAGGTGAGTCATAAAAAGGTTGGCAATGATTGCACCGAGTGGACATACACGGTTTCGGTAAAAAAAGAAGTAGGATTTTATTCGTAGGGTACTTGGTGGGATCAAACAGCCAAGCTCCAGAACCAGCAGCCAGCATATAGCTCCGGACTCATTGCAGTCACAAACAGTGTAATTGATCGCCGAAACCAAATATACACCCGCTTATTACACCTAAAATGTCCTTATAACAAGTGATGATTTGCACAAATTAGAAAGAGAAGCCCATTGGAGAACAAATACAGACGGAGCAAAAATTACTTCGATGGTTGGAGGATGAATATAAGAACAGAAAATAAGAGACAAAGTGAGCACAAATCAGAGAAAAAAAATAATGAGAAATGCCGAAAGAAAGCAGTAGTCATGGCGGCCGTACGACAAGTTTCTCACGTAAATGCACCTCTCTGGAGTAAAATAAAAGTGAAAACTTCAACAGAAAAGGGGAGATTATCGTCGTAGATAGGAAGCCAATCGCACATTGAGATAGTAGAGGGCGTCCGAAATGCGTGATTGTCAGTAACGGGTCATCCCACTTTAGTCGGATCAAATGATTAATTTTGGCGTTGATTTATCTCCTGGCGCGTACACTAAAATGGATTAGAAGAGGTAGTCAGAGAGTGTATACTGCGATTTACACACATGGCATTACGTGCTACACGTAGTAGTCTTCTCAGCTTCTCAGCTTTCGCAGTTGGGTCAGAATTATTCAAAATCTGCAAAAATACCTATAAATTCAATTTATCCTTCACCAATTTCGCTGTTGGTTTGAGTCTTTTCAGTCAACTTACGATACGAACGCCCAGTAGTGATGCACTGTAGAAGTTTTAGCTCCAAACAAATTGGTGGATTGTGACCGTTACGGAGTAATTAGTGTTATTTATTTCTCGCCTTGGGGTCTTCGCAGACGGTTGCGTAGTGACAGATAATCTAGAGGACAGTAGAAATACCTACAAAGACCAGCGAAAGTGCAATGGCTACTTCTGGCTTATCGATCGCAGTCGATCATCGGACACTCCCAGTCAAGTTCTCAACCATTTGAGCCATGGAATCCCAGCTGTGAACGTCTGAGCTCGAGCTCAAGTCCCAGACTGTTTAGCTCGAGGGTTAAGATATGGCTAGCTGAGAAAGATGGTGTGTTTGACTCTTGTTGATGAACAAACAGAGGTTAGCCGCCGCCTCTACCACGTACAACAAGGTTTTTTGCACGAGTTTCTGATGAGCACCTTTTGAATGCTGCACTGACATTAGCCTAGGCTAAATGATGAACCTGGGATACAAGAGAGTCAACACTGATCAGATGAGGCTCGGATATTTCCTCCTGTTGGTCAGTTTATGATTCCATGTTTGCTTGAAGGCTTACCATTGAGAATGTAGTCGGTCAGAAGTGGTGTCAAGTTCGGATTATTAGTCAACATGCAGCGAAGAAAGTCATTGAAGAGCTCCAAGTGGCCAACGGTGGGTCCATCTCCAGTTGCCGACAGGTGGAAGGGAATCCTGGTGCTCAAGAACTAGAGAGAGTGTTAAGAATTAGAGGGCCGTTACTCCCTGCAGCCCACTCGCAATTATCCGCAACACATGACCAAAACCATGCAGCTCACCTTCAAATCTTCCTCACGGCTAGGCCCACGCTTAGCCCGCTTCTTCTTCTTCATAGAACTGGCTATCGAGCTGCCGGAGGATTCGTACCAGGGTAGACGCCTGGGTGAAAGGGTGGACGTGGGTGTGGCCGATGCAGACAGCGATTCTCCATCCCGGTGAGCAGTGGACTGCATGTCGGCCCACTCCGAGTCTTGATATTCAAAAAGGCAGGGCAAATCAATGGTGGAATTGGAGGTGGTGATTCTCTGTGCAGCACCCGCTACGTCCTGACTTCGAATGGGCTGTGTGAGGCGACGGAGGTAGCTAAGAGCGCTGGAAGTGCGTCGCATCAGACGCCCACCGGCAGCCGACAGGCTGCTTGAGCGAGCAGTTTCGATACTGCGGCCCATGCGTCGCCAGCGTAGTCGGACCGCGAGGGCGGCATTGGCCAGTGTGGCCTTTGCGGAGGCCGAGTTTCCGCCTATTTGTGCACAAATAGAAAGGCTAACTGGGGGAGAAGGTGGATGGGACAATAAAATAAGTGAGGACGGGCCCTACTTAGGAAGGAGGTCTTCTTAGAGTCGCCACCCGCTTCCTTGGTATCAGCCTTTAGCTCAGGACTGACAGACCGGGAGCGCGTGTCGGAACCCTCAATCCGCGAGTGAACTTCAAGCAGAAGAGTGAAGAAGATGTCTTTCAGCTCTTGTTCATAATCCAATTCTTCGCGGGTTGCAAGTTCGTGAACCAGACATGCTGAGTAGTAGCGGATGCAGGAGTCGATCTCATCGACTAGGTGATTCAGCTGGGGAATTGACAGCTGATTAAGAACTAGAATTTAGGGTGGATAGACAGAAACGGCAATAACAGATAAGAGCTAAGAACTTACAGTATGAGTAAAAACTCACAAAACATTGGTCCAAACTATCATCACGTAAGTAAATTGAAAACATTACTTAAATGATAATGCGAAACCGACATGCATGCCTCAAGTCTGATGCCTACTGAGTAGATTGTTAACCTTCCACCCATATGGTTGATCTCATTAAAGATGAAATATCCATTTGCCTAAATCGATTTTCGACACTGACGAGAAAATAATCATTAGTTTCCAGTAAGAAATTGACAAGACCCGTTTTACAGAAAACGACGTCAGTTTCAGACCTGAAATTTTAAGGAAGGGAAGATCTCGGTTTGTAAAAAGCCCGCTTGAAAAGGTGCGCAACCAAATATGCCTGGTTTTCTCGATGAAGAACCCCCACACGGGAACAAACTTAAGATTATATTCGGTGCTCGTCAGTATTGCAACCTCACGTCAAACTGGCTGCATAATTATACATTTCAAGCAAGACGTCGTTAATTTTCGGTAGTGTACCTGGTTCTTAGGATGCCTAGGATAGTAAACACAAAGAGGGAACAGGGATCGTGACCAGCCGACTGCTTTATGGTTTACAGCCTTCCATTGCAAAGTCTCACAATCTGACTTGAATTAATACACTCTATTAAC